TGACTTTGGGGGAGACTAATGTCGGCTTTGCTCTCTAGAAGTGGCCTGATCCGCTCCACTGTGGAGAACGGCGCCATGAAGTACTACCTGACTGACAACCTCAAGTTCAGCAGCATCTACGACCTCATCCAGCACTACCGCGAGTCGCACCTGCGCTGTGCCGAGTTCGAGCTGCGGCTGACCGACCCGGTGCCGAACCCCAACCCGCACGAGTCCAAGCCGTACGTCCACGAGCCGGGCAGAAGGCAGACGCCCACACAGTCACATCCTGTCCCCGTGTCCCCGACCCTGGTCCCCAGAGGCTGAGAGCTCCCCGGTGGCCCCTTGCCAGATCCTGGCCATCAGCCCCGCCTGCCTGTCTCTTCCTTCCCTTCTGGCTATGCGTTCACAGTCCTGAGGCCTCAGGCTTTGAAATCAGAGTGCAGCATTGGCCCTGTGATGTCTTTCTGATTGTCCAAGCTCCTTCCGATTTATTTGACAGAGAAAAAGGAAAAGAAAATGATAGCAAGAGTACTCCCTTTTTCTTTTTTGATACCAGGGATCAAACTCAGGTCCTTGTGCTTGTGAGGCAGGCAGTGGAATCACTGAGCTAAATCCCCAGCTCCAACATTTTTTTTAAAGAAGAAATGATGATTGGCAATTACAGCAAATACAGTTTCAGGGAAAAGGTTAATCGAATTCCATCCAAATGCAGCTGTGCTTTGCTAAAATTCTGAGATTTGATGAACTACCTTCGAGCCAAATGGCTTCCAATTAAAAGTCTTCCGAATGATTTTCGCTCACTGACTGAGCCCGCGGTGTTTATAAATTCCATCTGGTTCACTGACCTCCTTGCAATGCAAACGTATCTCAGATTCCCACCCTGCTTTAGTCGTGAAGTTTCGCGTAGGTAGAGATGGATTTTGCTTTTAGCTCCCAGCTCCTCCTTGTGCTGGTTTTGTCTCAATTTAGTCTGAGCTGGTGGAGGAAGAGCATTTTCTGCCTGGCTCGAGATTAGTGTTTGGTGCTTTCTTAGCTGGGGACCCTGCTGGTGGGCTGTGGAAATTACAAATGCAATGTTTTTTAAATTTGCAATCCTTAGCCAATGCAAATCTTCAGCAAGAAATGAACCCTTAACAAGTTGTGTGGGAAGGGCATTTGCTAGTGGCAAAATGTTTTATAGGAAGTGAGCTGTGTTCGGGTAACGCACAAGGTCACCTCCTCCCCAGGGAGGGGTTTTGCAGATTTAACTGCGGCCCTCAAGAGGAACGTCAAGCAGACTGCGTGTCTTTCTCCTTGATGGGCTGGTGGAGCTGGGGCTTATTTTGCACTGCTTTTGTGTCTCTCTTTCCTTTTAAACATAATTTCATAAAACAAGGCTGCCAACTCAAATGTCCCTGAAGGTCAGGCAGATAACACAGGTGAGTTGAGCCATTCACAAAAGAGAAATATTTCTCAGTCTCTCGATTCAGCCACAACATTACAAAAAGAGTTAAAGTTTGGTGACAAGTGGCAGCTGGTATTCAGTGGTATGTCAGCTGGTGGCAGGGTATGGGTGACCATGATCATCTGAGGGACAGTCCTCCACCTCAAGGGTAGATGCCCTCAGCTGGTATTAACTTCTGAGAGGACAGGCCAGGTCTTCTACCTTCTCAGCATAAGCTAGAAATCTGAATGTTTTATGTGAAATCGCCTAACACGAGAATTGTTAAACCGAGCTGTAGAATAAACCTTCCTGTATAAACCAAGCAGGCCCCTTACAACGTGAGCCTATGCTGAGCTTGCTGTTATGCTGCCAGGGTAGAATGAGGACCTCAAAGTAAAATTACTACTCTTGTTTTGAGAAGTGCAGTAACAATTACCGAAAGCACATCGGAAAAAGGAAAAAAGAATCGGCCGTGGCCTTGCCATCCCTAAGGGTAGCTGGTGCATTTTGGGGTCTTCCTTGTCTGCTGGTCCTCACTGCCCCCTACCTGCCGTTTTTACCCTGCTCTGTTTCTTGCTGCTTTGTCCCTGTAGTCTTCCCCCCTGGGGATTTTCATGGCTGTTTTGTCACTCCTGGTACGCTGGGTGATCCGGATGAGGTGCAGAGACTGGGATTTTAACATGGCTTTAATGCTGAAGAACATTCTGGTGATGGCCAGCTTGGCTATTTCCCTGTCGACGGCCATTGGGTCAGCCCTAGGTTTGCTCTCCTAGTTAATACTGAAAGGAACTTCTTCATGCACAAGGTTCTGGGGATCTTTTGCGTTTCCCCTCTCAGTTCTTAGAACTGGAAGGAGCAGACCAGTACCATGTGTTGATGACCACACATCTGGCCTTGTCCTAAATGCTCAGTAGGCTGGCTCATCTGTCCTCCTGTGGCTCCATGAAATGGGTGCTGTTCTGGGGCCCACTGTGTAGATGAGATTTGGGTATGGGAAGGTCGAGTGATTGTTGGGCACAGCCTGGTTGGATGTGGAGTCTAGACCAAGGCTGCTCCCTCCTCATCTGGGTGGTTGTGAGGATTACAGGAGATGTCGTGGGTAAAAACGGTTATAGCAGGGCATTGACCTTGTTGAGTACATAAGAATTCACGTCCTTGCCACTTTTGTCATTGCATGCATTACCTCACTAGTCTCAGCAGTCCTGGGGAATTTGCAAAACTTTAATCCCCATTTCAGAGATGGGGAAGGTGAGGCTCAGAGAAGCTCTGGCTTACATAGCTAGGATGGAGCAGGGCAGTGATTGGAACCTGTGTCTGATTTTGTTGCCTGTCTCTGAGGAGCAGTTTCCCTGACTCCGCAGGAGTCCCTCTTCCCATTTCTTTCAGGTGAGAAGAGAAGGAAGCCTCTGATCTGAGCAATCAGTAGATTTCTGAGGCTTCTGTGGATATTTTCTTGCCGTGTGGGTGTGCATTTTGGTATGGTTCTTGCTTGCCCAGCAGCAGATAGGTGTGCTGGAGAAAAGCTGTATCTCAGGTACCTTCCTTCTCTCCCTGCCCATCCTGAGCCCACCTGTAAGGAATCTCACAGAGGAGCCCTTCAGCTCCCTGGCAGGGTCCTGAAGAAAGGAATCTGGGGACGACTGTCCCAGGTCAGAATGGTGGACACGTGGACAGGACATAGAGCTGCCCTGGAATCCCTGGGAGAGCTCAGGACGGTGGCTCCTGAGCACTTCAGGGAGGGTGGTTGTGGCTTAATCTGAAGGGGGGATCCTCTGTTGAGGGACTCAAGCAGTATCGTCACTCCCCGGGCCCCTCGGCTGACCAGGCCAGCTCTCTCACAACCAATTCCACATTGGCTCCTTTGCAATGGCCATGCTCCACCAGCAGATGGCGCCAGAAACCCAATTTCTGTCACCTCCAGCTCCTAAATGACAAGAAAATGGCGCCAGCGCTTCTGTGGCTTCCCAGGCTCCTGTCACCTGCCTAACCTTCTCCCTCTGTGAAAGCTCTGTATGATTACAAAACCAAGCTCAGTGACGAGCTGATCTTCTGCCACGGCGCCCTCATCCACAACGTATCCAAGGAACCCGGGGGCTGGTAAGGCTGCCTGGGGCTGGTGGCCTTGATTTCCCTCTTCTGCTGGTGACACGTGCTGACTCAGCTCTGAGCCCCCGTGGGCTGGTGTTGATCTGTCGTGCTGAGTCCCTGGGAAGGTGGCCCAGGGCGTCCTCCATGAGGGAAAGAGGGTAAAGCGTTGATAGCGAACATATCGTACGTTCTGCGTCACCGTGTGCTGTGTCTTCAGCAGGTGCAGCAGCACTGTTCACGGAGGGCTCCTGTGTCCCAAGCACTCTGCGGATTGCTGTCATGCACAGCTACCCAAATCTGAGGAGTTGCGACTGTGACTGTCCCCACTTCACAGATGCGGCCACCAGGGCTTTCCAGGGTCACACGGCTGCAGGCTCCTCCCGTGGCACAAGGCTGCACATTACCTTCCATTCCAGTTCTTACACTATTGCTTAGTCATGTGCCGGGACTGTTTGGGGTCCCCTGAGCCATGGGGAAGGGGTGAATTTTAACACTTACCAGTTGTGGTCTCTGAGGCTTTCCAGAACAGAGTAGACAGTGATGTGGAAATTGGGATTGTCACTAAGTTGTGGGCCAAAGTCACCATGACAAACCAGTAATGTGTTAATCAGACTGCTGGGCTGGAAGGCATGAGAGAGTACGAGGGAGAATTCCCACCAGAGCAAAATGGTCAAATGGGGCTTTGTCCTTTGCTCAAAGCAGCTTGCAAATGAGACACACAGGGTTTGGACAGCCAGACGCTCAGAAGGTGTGTGGTGTGAGGAAGCGAAGGGCCTCACTGGTGACACCAGGCCTTTCTGGGGACTCTGCAACCAGGTTTCTATCCCCAGCTGCCTTTTACCCTCAGTGAGCAGAGAACAGTCACTTTCACCGTGACAGCTCTGCACCAGGGATGACTCTTTGCAGGGAGGACTTTACATCACCTCCCAAGTGTTACTTTCTCTACCAGCCTCCATTTTGTCTACTGTAAAATAGATGAGTAACCAGCAAGGCAGAGACAAGGACCAAGACAGACATAGCCTGTGGTCTGCTTAGAACACTGAGCCAGCAATGAAGAGCTCAGAAATCTCAGCTAATAATTTGATTAGATGACTTTCCTTCTGTAACCTTAATTTTTTTTACATAACTGTTTGCTCTGTGTATAGAGAACCCATTCCATATCCTACTCCTGGCTTCTGCTGATGGCTAGAATCTCAGTGTGTCTCACTGCATGGCTGTATCATTCCACACTACCTATGTGGCTTTCTCCCATGTCTGTGTCTCCATGGTCCCTGTCCTCTTTCTTATGAGGACAGCAGTCCCTGGATTTTGGGTTTCCTCAACATCCGGGATGTCTCAAGATCCTTAGGTACATCTGCAAAATCCTATTTCTAAATAAGGTCACAGTCACAAGGACTGGGGACTTATCTTTGAGAGGACACCACTCAGCCCTCTGAGACCATAAATGGTCACGTGTGTGAAGTCAAACGCTGGCCAATGGAAAGGGGACCACCCAGGTGGCACTGACCGTAATTGTAGTGATGGAGGCCTGGGTTGGTTCATGAGAAATGGCTGGTGTCTGTTGGCTTCTACTAAGCTGACCGGGGCTTTTCTTATCCTCTCCCAAAGTGAAAGCCCCACAGGGGAAAAACCAGAAGCCTTTTGTCTTCATCCTGGAGCCCAAGAAGCAGGGTGACCCTCCGGTGGAATTTGCCACGGACAGGGTGGAGGAGCTCTTTGAGTGGTTTCAGAGCATCCGGCAGATCACCTGGAAGATCGACACCAAGGTGAGCCACTGTTCACCTGGGCACAGGCGGGCCTGGCATCCTCTCCTGGGTCTTGGAGCTCTTTTGGGACTGTGGTGATCCAGGCGGCGGGAGGAGCAGGGCCAGGAATTCTGCTGCACAGAATTCCAAGAGGAAGAAATATGGATATAGATGGTAGGAGGTATATAGGTGGAGGAAGCGGGTGCCAAGGCCCCCCAGAAAGCTGGGCCTAGTCCAAGCATCGAAGGCTCAGTGTGCAGTGACACTCCATGTCTGGAGTGCCTGTCCATGCCAGATCCTACAGAGAGCCTGTCAAAGGGCCATCCTTGGTGAGGCCTGTCACCGCTACCCCATCCCCAGGTCTAGTCCGGTCCTCACTTGGAGCTCCCAGTTCTTCCATGGCTTGTCCCATCATCAGAGCCACCTGGAGTGGACCATGAGATTGTGGTCCACAGGGCGTTTGTTCTGCTTTCCTTGCCGGGGATGTGTCGCCTGCCTCCTGGCACTTCTGAGGGAGTGTAGATCTGATGAGGCACGTGAGGGGATGCCCCTGCCCTGAGCTTCCTTTGCAGAATTCACCCTCCTTGTCTTCTAGGTGTGTCCTCATTGCCAGTTGGGCAGCTGGCATTATCATCTGTACGGCACCCCTCGATGCACATGACCCTCCTGAGCATGCTCTAGCTGTTGAGATTCTGGGTCCTTCTAGCTGGGAATGGAGAAAACCAATAGTGAGCAAGCCCTTAGCATGGTCCCTGTGGACCTTACTGCTGGTCACCCCCCAGTGAGAAAGGGCATGGAGGGCGCAGGCTGGGTGCTGATGGATACCCTCTGCCTGTTGCATCCTGGCACTGTCCACCTCCCTTCATGGGGAGGGATGTCACTGCACTTGAAGGTTCTCTGCTCACCATCTCCTCTCCAGTTGCACGAAGGTTTCAGAAATTAAACCCAGCAGTTCAAGGCTGCTTCTTGCTTCCTTTGATCGACACTGTACCTTACTTGGTTTTTCCATTTGGTAAGATGTCTTGAGAACCCTTTTCAAAGTCTTCTTATTGCATATGAGGCTTAAAAACACAGAGCTCAGCAGAGTTGATTGAGTTTCTGCTCTGGCCACAGCCAGCCTGAGTGACAGGCTGGTGTGGGGAGCAGCAGAGAGGCCTGGTCCTGCCTTTGGGTCATGACATCGGGTGAGCAGCCAGCCCAGTGCCAAAACTCTTCAGCCTGCCTCTGAGGAGAGGGCGATGGAGGTAAATGGGCTCCTCCATTTCCTCAGAGCTAGCTTTGAATAAATCTTTTCTGCTTTTTATAAAAATAAACGACCTCCATTGATTTGGCCAGTGGCAAACAAATAAAACTGGAGGTTATGGACCTAAGTGACAGTTTTGGTGAGCCAGCCAGGAGGAAGTTTGGAAAAGTTGCTTATCTCTAAAAGAAAAAAATCCAACTATAAAATTCCATTTTGTGCCGCCAGTCCCAGCCCTTCGCCGAGGCATCCCATGCTCCTCTTCCCAAGTTCCTGCTCAGGGATCTGTTCATTCACTCTCTGGCTGCCTGGATGGCAAAGACCAGTCACTCAGATCTGTCAGTCAGTGAGTTTCCGAAGCCTAACCAAGACGAGCGTGTGGCTTCACAGTCTGAGCTGGCCCAAGGGGAAGATCTGCAGGGAAGGAGAGTAACTGAGAAGGAGTTTTGAAGCAGCAACTGGCATTTCATCTCGAACCAATAGTGTCTTCTACTGAGGTTGAAAAAAGAGAAGCCCCATAACTTGTCCTGGCTCTATGTGTCTGATTCCAGGTCCTGCTGTCTTAACCCCAGGTAACAGAGCCTCTCACCAAATAACCCCTGATCCATGCACTTGCCTCCTGCAGGGCCCTCCAGTGTGGGGACATTAAATGGCATTAGTGTGGGACAGCTGGATGAAGGATGAGTCAGGCAGAGCTGTGGAGAGGCTGGGAGACACCTGGAAGCCTTCACTCCCTCTTTCCCAGTTCTGGCTGGAGTCTCTGGGTACTTTGCAGAGAGTGATGGCGTGTGTGTGTGTGTGTGTGTGTGTGTGTGTGTGTGTGTGTGTGTGTGTGTGTAGGGCCAAGGAGAACTCTGATTGGCCCACAGAGGAGGGTATGGATGATGGGTAAGTAGCTGTGAGGTTCTTGCTGTCGCTCAGAGCCTCAGGCTGTGAGTTCTGATGCTGAAGTCAGGAGGCATTCTAGTGTGATCTTCTGTAGGACTTGATGGCCAGTAGCGAGTAAGGGACAGAGTTGTAACATGGCACAGGGGGGGCAAGGGCAGGGACTTAGGTCAGGCGAGCAGTTTAAGTATCTGGTCTTGACATTGACTGGCTGTGTGGCCTAGGGTAAGCTACTCAACCTCTCTGTGTGTATGGGGATAAATTCTGCCTTTCAGGGATTGTGTGGGCCAACCTAGCAGAGTCCATCCAGCACTTTGCGTGTGATGCCTGGCACAGAGCACCTCCCAAATGGTGCTGGTTGCCATCTACTTATTTTCTCAGGGGTCCCCTTGGCCAGTTAAAGGCGGCTGGTCAGAACTGGGGTTGAGGTTTGGGGATAGGAGGGCCACCTTCTGTGGGGGTAGAAGAAGCTCATCCTTGCCAGGGTGGAGGTTGCTGCCAGGAGAGGCACCTCTGTCCATGTCTGGGACACCAGGAGCACTCAGTGATGGGCAGAGTCAGAGGAAAAAGGAGGCTACTCACATCTCAGTGGCATAGGGAGTGAAGTGCATTGTTCTACAGGACTGCGAGGTTTGCAGGACTGGAATTTGATGACTGCGGTTTTAGGGGAGAGGACAGGGTGGGAGACAGAGAGCAGAGGGTTAAGCAAGATGAAAAAAGTCTCCTCTTCTGCCATCCTGGTCCCCATCTACTTTTGAGAACCATGGCCAAGACTGAGCCAGACACCAGACGTGGGTGGAAACAACCTGGTGGAGACTGTGAACAGTGGGAGGAAGGAGAGAGAAAGGAAGGCAAGGTTATCTTCAGAACAGGAAAAGATTTGGTTCTGCAAGGTCTGAGTGTGCAAGGGTGAGGGATGCAGGACTGTGGGGTCACTCAGGGGCCGGCCTGAGGGCTGACTAATCAAGGTGGGTTTCCACAGGAGAACAACATGAAGTACTGGGAGAAGAACCAGTCAATCGCCATTGAGCTCTCTGACCTGGTTGTCTACTGCAAACCAACCAGCAAAACCAAGGACGATTTAGGTAACCTTTCCCCGTGACCCTGTCCCCATCTGTGGTGAACTATCTCCTTTTGAGTCTGATGTCAAGAGAGAGCACAGTGAGTGTTTGCCTGCTCATTCTTAGCTCAACTGCTTGGCAGAAACCTCGGCTTGAGTTTGTCCACAGGGCCCTTTTGGTGTCCCAGGGGTAAAACCCAATTAGAGGGAGGACTGGCTTCCTATGGCTGCTGTAACAAATGACTACCTCCTTGGAGGCTGGAAACAGCGCACATTTATTCTCTCAATCCCAGAGGCCAGAAGGCTGAATTCAGTATCTAGTCCCAAATCGAGGTGTGAGCAGTGCTGTGCTCCTTCCAGAGGCTCCCGTGGAATCTGTTCTTTGCTTCTCCTGGCTTCAGGTGATTGTTGGCCATGTTTTGGCTTGTGGCCACTTCACTCCATTGTCTGCCTTGGTGGGCACATGGCCATACCTCTTCTATCTCATTATAAGGACCCTGTGATTGTAGTAGGTCCACCTGTATAATTCAGGGTAATTTCCCCATTTCAAACTCCTTAATTTAATCACATCTGCAGTCTCTTTCACCATAGTACATCATATTCATAGGACATGGAGATTTTGGGAGACCTTTATTCAGTCTACCACAGAGGGATTAAATAGTGTTATACTTGGAAAGGTTTCTCCCGTTTCAGACTGTTTATACCAAACCCCATATTTTCTTTGGGTCAGATACTACTTGCCCAGTTGCCCAAATGATCATAGGGAACCCAGGTACCCGGATGCACACCCCTCAGCGCCCTTGAGTCGGCCTCACAGACCTCACTCTGCTTCCAGACAAGTACATGCAGCTGAATCACGCACTATTTTCACTCAATGGGCGGACAGGCTATGTCCTGCAACCTGAGATCATGCGGACGGGGAAGTATGAGCCAATGCCACCAGAGTCACAGCGCAAGATCCAGATGACACTCACCATCAAGGTAGAGGTGGACATGCTTCCTGGGGGAGGGCCACACACGCTGCCTAGGGCAGCAACACTTGTAAACCATCAACATCCTGACAACCTCTTAGGACCTTTAGTCAAGTACCTGTAGATCATTCCAGGGGAAAGGGAAAGAGAGGGAACTTCTCTGACCATCCTGGTTCCTGCCCCTGTCATCTGCAGTGTGAGGTATCCGTCTGTGTCTTTGGGGTCCGTGTAAGATTGGCCTCAGGCCAGGAAGACTGAGAAAAAAACACAGAAATGGCCCTTGGTCTTAACAGAGGAGTGTTTGTCTGCCCTTTGGCCAGTTTTTTTTTGGTGGGGGTGGTGTCAAAGCTTTTTTAAGTTAATCCAGTATTCATAGAATGTGTTAAGAGGTTTTGCAAAGTAGAGAGATGAAATGCATTTCTCGTGGGATTCAAAAAGAGGGCATGTGCAAGCAAAGGTCTTTCTTGAAAAAAGACAAGTCACAGCAAGATCGCTTATGTTCTGTCCCCTTCCCGGTTCTGGGAGATCCAGGAATGTGGTGCCATGTCTCAGCAGGTGCTGCCGGGGCATGAGTAGGCAGGCCCAAGGGCTCAGGCGAGACCTACCTGTTGAGTCAGATAGCGCAGGGCTAGACCTATGAGACCCCACCACGATGGAACCCCATTTCCTCATCTGTCAGAGGACGGACCTCTCAGAACCCACAGCACAGGTTACCAGCCTCTCCAGGTCACAAGGCTGGCTTTGATTTCCTTGAGTCTAACCCCTGCTGCTGTGCTCTTTGTGCTCTGTGGGACAGGAGAACCCCAATACTTAACCATCCATGTCCTAGGTCCTTGGTGCCCGCCACCTCCCCAAGCCCGGACGAAGTATTGCTTGTCCCTTTGTAGAGGTGGAAATCTGTGGGGCGGAATATGACAACAAGTTCAAGACAACAGTTGTGAGTAAGTAGCCTCAGCTCTTCTAAATGCAGAGCGGGTGGAATCCGATTTGGGCTGCTATCTTCAGAGATTTTGGAGTGTACTCTTGTCGCCCAGGCTTTTTCAGTGACCCCTCTTGTCCACTGTGGTTCAGCTTGGAGATGGGATACACTGGACTTATACCCTCTGCTGTCTGTCACTCAAGTTAGGAGCCTGAGGCAAGAGTTTTGCTCCCTGCACATAGCACTAGTGTGGTTGTTGCGCACCACAGTCCAGACCTGATACAGTTGCTGAGTTGCAGCAGACACCCAGAGTAGGGGCATGTGCTCCAGCTGACTCAGAAGAATGGGTTGGCCTTGGCCCCCCGGGTCAGGAAAGACAAAAGGAGCAGGAAGGGCCCATGAGCTGGGGACCTGTTAGGGCACAGAATGGCCGCTCCTGGTCAGAAACAGCCCAGGGACAGCTCAGGCACTGACCAGTGGGCCTTTCTGGAAGTGGCAGTTTGCTGTGTGTCTTCCTCTATGAGGCTGGGTCCCTGGACAACTCTAGAACATGTTCTTCAGGCCCAGGCTTGGGGTTACTGTGTACTTTTCATTGATAGCTTCTGTACCCCCCGCCCCGATTCCTGCTCTGACTCTCTCATCCCAGAATGTGAGACGAGAGGTGTAGGCACGATGTGGGGGTCCCTTCCACGGCTTCCTGTGGGCCAAGCTTGCAGTGGCAGCTTTCACTGGGCAAGGAAAAGAGAAACCTCAGACATTCTTGGATCTTGGCATAGATGCTTGTTTATCAACATGGTTGCTAAGGGCCTCAAAACTGAAGGATGCTGAGATTAGGTTACAGGGAGAGGCGGGATGAACACAGACTCTCTTGAGCTTGGATCTCTTTCCAGATGACAATGGCCTCAGCCCTGTCTGGGCTCCAACGCAGGAGAAAGTGACATTTGAAATTTATGACCCAAAACTCGCGTTTCTGCGCTTTGTAGTTTATGAGGAAGACATATTCAGTGATCCCAACTTCCTCGCTCATGCTACTTACCCCATTAAAGGGATCAAATCAGGTAAGAGGTATTTTAATTAGGATAGTCTATTTTGGTGAGCATCGCTCTTTGTTCTGTGTTGCTGGATTTAAAAAGAACAAAAAAGCACTTTTCTTGGTTTTGATTAAATCACGGCAAAACCAACAGGATGGCTTAGAGAACCATGGCCCAAGCAGCTGCATATTTAGCACACAGGTGGTTGAAAGATGAGGACCTGCTACTCCCTTGGAAATCAGATGTCTGTTTGTAAACTGGACTGCTTCTGGATCATCACTCTGGCACTGTAGTTTGATTTCATTTGAAAGGTAACCAGAGGTTTGCCCCTTCCCGGTCGGGGTTAAGTCTGGTTGGATCTCCCTTTCTCTTCTGGACTGGCACTGTGATAAGGTGAAGATTTTACCATCTGGTGGGAGCTACAGCCTTGCATTCAACTCTCCTAATTCTTCAAATAATTCTCCATCTTCCTCTAAACAATTTGGAGGAGTTGATTTACTGCTTTGAGTTATGATTTTTTTCCATCATGGTCTGAGAAGGGTTATTTTGCTTCATGTGACCAGCTGCTAAGAACCTGGATCCTATGGCTGACCTGTGGGATCCAGGTGCATGGCCCTTCCATATGGCTGAGTAGTGCCTTCAGGTGAGAGGCTTTGTGACCCAGGAGCCCCAGGGGCAGGCACCTGTCAGGGTGTCACTCTGAAGGTAGTGGTCCTTGGGAGGTGGTGGTTTCCCTAATTTCTTTTCCCACTGGATTGACATTTAAGTGGTCCTTGGGAGGTGGTGGTTTCCCTAATTTCTTTTCCCACTGGATTGACATTTGACAGGCCACCACTTTAATGTAGAGTTTCTTCCTTCTCCTTGGTATTTTGGATGCATTGGACATCAGATCATAGATGCTTCTAGATTCCTCTGGAGGTCACTCTTCTCTTGTTTCTCAAGAATCATTTTTCAACAGAACGACATTAGCATTATTTTAGTTATTCATGTAAAAATAAAGTCTTCTGATGTTGTCGGAAATCTTGGGCTCCATGCAGAGCTGAATTGGATTTTCCCCCTTTCTTTAAACTTGGAACATGTCAGATAATCTCTGAAATTCTCTCAGTATGATAAATCTGACATTTCACCCACTGCACATTAGCCCAGTTTCTGAGTAGCAGACAAGATGGCAAGTCTAGCTAGAAAATTCAGGGTCCTGGGCTTACCATGGGTGCTTTGATGCAGCCCAGGGAGGGCCCAGGAATCTCTGTTTGGTCAGCTCCTCCAATGGGCCTTGGGTGGTACTGAGAAAAGCAGGCTGGGCACAGACAGACGCTCTTACCTCTGAGGAAGCTGAGCATAAATTTCAGAAAATGTTTAAACCCTCTGATTTCTTTGCAGCACTTTAGAAATATCCATTTTTGTAATTTAACACTAACAGCATTCATTTGTAGGTCCCAGAGGCCAGCTCTTTGGCAACCCTTGCTGGTTACCTTGCCGACTGTAACTACTTTAAGTTCAGCAATGAAGCAGGGCTCTCTAATCTGCTGTGTGCTTCTTTTAGATTTGCCTAACAAATAAGTCTTAGGAACGACACTGCCTGTTTCACAGCAGGAAGTGTAGTTTTTTGTAATCTTTATGGAATGCTGCAGTGGATTTCATTTTACGATAACTGTGCCCGCTGGTTCCTCACCATCCTGTTATCCTTGTTACCCTGACCCCCTTGCCCCAAGGCTGGGGGCAGGAGCCTTGTAGCCATCCCAGTACCACGCATAGAGGTCAGAGTTGTTGACCTCACCTGACTGGCCACAGTGTGTCACTTTCTTTTTTATTTATTTCGTTTTATCCCATTCCCCCCTCAACCCCCTCCCCTCCCGATGTACAAAAGCTTGTTTCCATTTTTCCTTCTATTTTCACTTTTTTCTTGTTCCCTCTTTCCTTTCTCCCTCCCCTCTGCCTTGTTCCCCTTCCCATTTGAACATTTTCTTCCCATTTCCCACCTTCTATTATACATCTCAGTCCTTATTTTCACATTCAGTTTCTCACACCAGAAAAACAATGTAGTATTTAAACATGTGTGTCTGATTTATTTCACTTAAGAGTATGGTTTCAAGGTGCATCCATTTACGTATAAATGTCTGAAGCTCATCCTTTATGGCAGAGTAGTGCTGCACTGTATAAAAAGTCCACATCTTATCCACTCATCAGTTGATGGGCATTTGGGCTTTTTCTAAGATTTAGCTATTACAAACTTTGCTGGTATAAACATGTGCATATATTGCTGTGGTATAATGCTTTTCATTCTTTTGGGAAGATACCAAGAAGAGGTATAGCTGGGTCAAATGGAACATCTAGTTTTATTGTTTGGATAAATCTCCACACTGATTTCTACAGTGGTTGCACCAGTCTACACTCCCACCAGTAATGGAGAAGTGTTACTTTTTCTCCATAGCCCCTCCAGCATTTGTTATTGGTTGATTTCTTAATAGCAGCCTTTCTTCCAGAGTGAGATGGACTCTTGGTGTTTTCATTTGCATTTTATGAATGACCAGTGATTTTTTTCATATATTTATTTGCCATTTCTAATTCTTTAGTTAAGAAGTGTTTTTTTTTATTTCAGATGCCCAATTTTGCACTGTCTTTAAATTTGGGAGGTTTGATTTTTTTTTTTTTAGTTCTTTATGTGTTCTAGATAATAGTCTTTTATCTGAATAGCTGGTGAAATTTTTTTCCCACTTTGTGGGTTGTTTCTTCACTCGATTGGTGGGTTCTCTTGCTGTGCAAAAGCTTATTTATAAGATGAGGTCCCAGTGGTTATTCTTTGTAGTGTTTCCTGTTCAGTCTGGATTTTGTTCAT